CTTCGGCAAATATTGAAAAATGAGCTCGAGTTAAAGCCTTTGAAATTCCAAAAACCGCAAAAACTTAAACGACAGAAAGAGCTTGGCCGAAAGTGGTGAACTGCAGAATTTGTTTTTCTCCGATGGTATTTCAACAGGACTCAGCCCGATCGCACTCAGCACGCGCCAACCAGGAATGGTTACAAAATGAGGTTCCTCGCTTCATTTCTAACGCACAATGGTCACCAAAATCTCTGGGTAGCAATCAGTGGACTATTGTGTCTGGAGTATCACCTGTCGATCACCTCAAGCAAGCGCTTCGCCGGGAATGGGCCAAAATACCACTGAGCAACATTCGGGCAGCGTTTTTTGGTAACCTTGACCGTGAAGGCCATAATTCGTACAAAAGGTGACCAATTCGAACAAATCTAAACTTATTCTAAAATTTGATGCCATTTCTGACATGATTTGCTTTCATTCAATAAAATTAAAAAAAAAAAATGTAAAAATTATGGCGTTTGACTTTATTGCTTTTTTAAACCCTCCACATACATAGTATGGAGGGTATATTAAGTTCGTCATTCCGTTTGTAACTCATCGAAATAATAATTTTAGACCCAACAAAGTATATATATTCTTGATCAGCATAATATTCTATGTCGATTTAGCGATGTCCGCCCGTCCGTCCGTCTGTTGTGATTACGCAACAGTCAAAAGGAATTAGGAAGCTAAAATTTTGCACAGATCTGTCTTTTGCCTGCAGGCAGGTCAAGTTCAAAGATGGGCTATATCGGCCCACGATATTGTGTAGCCCCCATATGGCGGTACCCAAGATATTCGGTATTTTGGTGATTTTGGCCACATTTTTCAATGAAATTGTCTGAAATCGTACACAAGCGGATCTTTATGAGTACTTTATCCCTGACAGAGAATTATCTATATAGGTCCACGATATCGTATGGCCCCCATATAACGCGCCCAAATAACGGTACTCCCAGATATTCGGTATTTTTATGATTCTTGCGAAATTATTCACCGGAATTATTTCAAATGTTGTATATAAAGTTCGGAAAGGGCACTACATCCTATGACACAAATTACTAATGCAGGACCACGTCTTCGTATAGTCCCTATATAGCGGTTTTCATTCGATTTTTTGACAGATTTTTTGGAAATTTTTCAAATTTTTTTTAATGGTGTAGGGTATAAAAAGTTCGGCCAGTCCGAAATTAGCGGTTTTTCTACTTGTTTTAATGTGTGTATTTTACGCGGTGTTTGGATGATATTGGCGACATTTTTACCAAAATTAGTTCATATTTCGTATTTAAAGTTTGTAATAGGTGCTACAGCCTTTGACATAAAATTGGACAATTTTCAAGGGCATTAACATTTCCCCCGACCAAACTTATGTGCTTTTTTACCTGTTCTAATTTTGTAAGTGTTATAAGTATTCAAAATTTTAACTCTTTGTAGGGTAAAGAGGGGCGATATATCACATTTTCGCACCTGACCTAACACTAATAAAAATATTCGGATTTGCAAAGTGTGCTCAAAATTGGGCGATTCTTTCTATTTCTATAAGGTATATTATTGTCTGTGAAAATATATATCGTTTCAAATACAAATGATTCCGTCAAATTAAGTAGAATACGGTAAATGCCTGTTATATATTAGTTTCCTTCAGCTTTAAATGATAACCGATTTAACGATCATAGTTGGTATGTTTTAATTCTTATAAATTCCAAATAAAAACTTTTCCTTTCTTTACTGGCTTTCGTTAATAGTAACCTGGACCGCATACAATAACAACGACCAATTAAAGGAATTTTAAATATTTAATAATGCAAGAACTTAATCGAGGTTTCATAGGAAAATAGACCTGTTTTAACCTATTGTGAGTGCGATAAAATTGGTCACTAAATGTTAAAGGTAATTTCTTTGATTTTAATCAACAGCATGAAAAAATATTTTTTTATTTAAGCCTAAAGACCTTACGTGCTTAATTGCTAAGGATTCGCTAATGTTCATTGAAGTATTGTTCCAGCTTCAAATTTCACATTTTTAGTGACCATTTCCAAAAGGTTCATTCATTGCATGTGACCAAATTAAAAGGATTTTGCGGACTATAAAAAAAACAATTAATTTTTTGGTGTTTTTTATGGGCTTAGTAATTAGTATAATTTTCTTATCAAGTCAAAGTAGAATTTTTTTTCATTTTTTTCCAGATTGTATCTTTTGGGATTTGAACATTCTTTCTGAATCATTAGTCGTTGATTTTATTCTTAATTACTTTATGACAAGAAAGAACCGACATTTATTTATATCTTTTTCAACTGTTTTATCCTCATGACAAAGAGGAAAAACCAAAAAACACATAATTGTATTTCCTTGGGGATAGCCACCACAGAAAAAGAAAACACAAATTTTATCATAAAAATAATAAGATTATTTTCCAAGAAATTAGTCCTTTTTTGGTTTCTTTTGATTTATAATTTTAATGACTCTGTATTCGGAATGTGTTTTATTATGTAATTTATGCAGTTGCGAATGGTGTTATGAATTAATAAAATGAGACAATTTTTTCTGTTTATTACAGCATGAACATAATAAGAAATCAAAAGTAAGTAATTTTATACTTTTTTTGTTATTTACTGTTATGTAATTATACTAAAAATAACAAAAGGACCAATTGTTTGGAAAATCCGAAAGTTGGTGTTACTTGTCCGAAATACATTTTTATGACCCCCACATTAGATAATTCGTGATATTTTGACCCTTCAAAATAGGTTAACTGAAATTTTGTGGCTCAGAGTTTGAAAGGGTAAAGTGCAGCTGCAAATGTTGTATGCGAGTCACTTAAGGTGTAAGATAAGCCAGCATTTTTGAAATTCCTTGCTTAAAGTGTGACCAATAGAGCTATTCGTGAATAGTGGATATAATAGTACTTTAAGGCCATGAAAAGTACAAAAATGGTGTTGCATGTTTAGAAATCAATAGATACGAGGGGGAAAGTTTGGAATTTCTTTGCTTGATTTTCAAAAATTTGTGCGTTATAATGTATATAATAATTATATATAAAACCAGTAAAGAGTGGCCACCCAAGAATGGTTACAACATGAGGTTTCTCGCTTCATTTCCAGCGCACAATGGCCATCAAAATCTCCGGATACTAAATACCAATCCGTTGGACTATTGTGTCTGAAGTATTTTGGAAAGCAAGATTGGCACTAAAAAATACCAAAGTGTCAATCACCTCAAGCAAGCGCTGGAATGGGCCAAATTACCGAAGAGCAACATTCGGGCAGTGTGTGACGTTGTCATTGGTCGTTCGAAGGCCATATTTCGTGCCAAAGGTGACCAAATCGAACAAATCTAAACTTATTCTAAAATTTGATGCAATTTCCAATATTTTTTGCTTTCATTCTATTAAAAAAAAAAAAAACAAGTAAAAAAGCGGCTAAGTTCGGTCGGCCCGAATTTATAGTAGCCTCCACCATTTCTAAATAAATTGAAAAATTGCAAAAAAAAAAAAACAAAAAAAAAAAATCGAAAACTACGACTTAAATGAAACCCGTTATATGGGGACTATATGAGGACGTGGACCTGCATACGAAATTTATTTTCAAAGGCTGTAGTGCCAATTACGGTGAATAATATTGCAAAAATCAAGAAAATACGAAGTATCGGTAGTTGTCCTCGAAGATGTGGACCTGCATACGAAATTTTTTTCAGTGCAAAATTTGAAACCATTCCGTTAAAAAATATTGCTAAAATCGTCAAAATACCGAGTATCGGGAGATACCATTTTACGGGGGCTATACGAAGACGTAGACCTGTACAGACAATTTTCTGTCTTAAGCCGTAGTATCCATTACGAACATCAAATATTAAACTTAAAACAACTCCGGTGAATAATGTTGCTGAAATCATCAAAATATCCACATATAACTACCGTTATATGGGGGCTATACAATTTTCTGCTGTTAGGCTGTACTATGCATTACGAACTTAAAATAACAAATAGGGAGGTACCATTATATGGGGGCTATACCAAAACGTGGACCTACATGACCCATATATATAATTTATATATAATATAATTTACATTTAGTTAAAATTTTATTAACCTATTTCATTTCGTTCGGAAGCTAGACTAATTTCCACAGATAGACAGACGGACGGACATCGCTAAATCGACACCGATTTTTATGCTGATGAAGAATATTTATACATTGTGGGGTCTAAAATGTATATTTCGAGGTGTTACAAACGTTATGACAAACTTAATATACCCTCCATACTATGTTGGAAGGTACAATAAAAAGCAAATCGGACGAAGATATATATGGAAGTTATATCTAAATTTTGACAGATACGGATATCCAATTTTAACAGGATTCGTCCTTGGAGCCAACAAATAATTTGTGCAAAATTTCATCTCGATCGGAAAATAAATCCGACCTGTACTTTGTTTACAAAAATACATGGACAGACAGACGGACGGGTAGAGGGACGTACTTGCATAAATCGTCTCAGAATGTGATTCTATGCAGATCATCAAAAGGAACTATGGGTCTATCTCGCTTCCTTCTCTATATTACAGGGTATTATGTCTTTGTGAATTTGTGGTGTAGGGTATAAAAAAGCTAAAATATACAGATATACACACATCCCAATATTTCCATCAGTATATCGGACCACTCATTCAGGTACATCTTCCACAAGGGGTCAAGATTTATATAAATATTTATATAAACCGTATTAAACCATATTAATGTCAGAATTAAATAACACCTGAAGGTGAGACAGACTGAGGATACAATAAGGAGTCGAAGTTTAAGGCAGCATGTTACCGCGTGCATCATTTGTAACAACATGGATACTCCCTGCGAAAGTTGTCATGGCTAATGGTCGGGCTTGAATGGCTGAAAGTATAAAAATATTTTTAATGATTAGAAACATATAGAAGTTCAGTTTTAATTAAGTATAAGCGAATTAGAAATTTTTAAATAACTGAATTCGTGAAGATGTGGACATGATGTTCGGCGATTGTTATGACCATAAGTGCATCTCTCTTAGCAACTGTCATAAAGATCGGTTACAGATAAAGAAAATACAAGGGAAAAAAAGAAAAAGCTAATAATATCAAATGTCCACAGAAATAATTCTCATTTTTTCTGACTTTTAATTACCGAAATGTTGTTACAATTCAAATTAAATGTGAACAATCAATTTGTGCCATCAATAATCACTTACTGTGATGCCCAACTAGCTGGTTGCTGTATGTTCCGGCAGCTACAAACATCCACATTTGACGCTACCACATGTAGACCATTTTTATGATGGCGATCGAAGTCCAAAATTAAGGTAAAAATATACAAACATAGCTCAAACTCACATTTGAACTGACAAAATATTTTATATTTTCGTTTTTGTTTACGTCTAAGCCTCGACGCAGCTTCTTCCATGAAAAGGGAAAGTTATGGTCACAACAATGATGAAGATTTTTGTGTGTAACTATTTTTGATGTCTGGCAATTAGCAACAGTAGGAAGGTAGGTTGTGTTGGAAACAAAACATTTTGAAGTCAGCAGTGAGTAATATTGATGTGATGCTCGACGGAACACTTATTTATCCATCATAATCAGTGGGACCCAACCAACCCATTTCAGCGAATATGACCAGCATGTTTCCTATCAATAAATATTCAATAAATAATTTCACGCTTATTGTGTAATAGAATTAACAGAATTTACTTAACACTCTCGGTTGGTGATTGGCAAAGATTATTTTTATGCAACATGCCGTTACTTTTGGCATTACTCAGCGGGAAACATGTTAAATGAGCGTCAATTGTATGTAGGCTACTAATGAGGCAGGCAACTGCTTATAATTTCAAAGAAATCTATTTCAAGTCTTTGAATCGTAAAAAGGGTGATTTTAATTTTAGTCACATTATTTTAAAGCCTTTGCTCTTATAGATAATTTAGTATTCGTAAAAAATATCGATTTATTCAGTACAAAGCAATGCTATTCAAGCTATTCCTACGAAATTTGGAAAATATATTTATAATTATATATGTATATGCAATCGTGTCACAAAATTCTACAAAATCTATATTAACATCATTATTGGCATCTTTTTAAACAGTTTTTTAGATTTTATTTTTTTATGCCAAGAGGGCATTCTGAATTGAAAAATTTGTCAAAATCGGTCTAATCATTCTTGAGATATAAGCATTATCTCTATATATCCGATACATTTACTATCGGCATCTACGTAACGGTCATAATTGAACTTTTCGTATATATTTGTGATTTCGCCGGGATTAAAAATATTCACGGTTTAATGGAAAATTTGACTTTTATTTAATACAAATGTTATGGTCTATTTCACTCACTAAACATTACCCGATGATCATCCAAATTGGAAGACTTCTTTCCACCCCTAAGCTGTAGCCTCATGCGAACTTCCGCGTCTATTAGTCTACAATTGCGACCTGTAGAGCAACTGCAAAATCAAGAAATTTTCTAGTCTTTAGTCCACTTGAACCCTTAAATATTATGCGATCATCTCCAAAAGCAATAAGCCATAATTGCGACCTGTAGCTTGATTACGGATTGACATGGACAGGTGGGCAGGTGGACGGACGGACGGACATCATAGCTAGATCGACTCAGCTCGGCGAGATTGGAAGTTGCACATATACAGGGTGAGATAAAAAAATGCAACAAGGTCAAACGCCACAATCTTTACGTTTTTTTTTTTTTTTTAATTTTATTGAATGAAAGCAAACAATGTCGGAAAAAGCATCAAATTTTAGAATAAGTTTAGATTTAATTGAATTGGTCACCTTTGGCACGAATTATGGCCTTCAAACGGCCAATGAAACCGTCACACGCTGCCCAAATGTTGCTCTGCGGTATTTTGGCCCATTCCCGGCGAAGCGCTTGCTTGATGTGATCGACACTTTGGTATTTTTATACCCTACAACACTATGTGTTGGGGGTATTATAAGTTTGATTGGGCCAAAAATTATGTAACACCTCGAAATATTGGTTTCTCACATAGGAAAGTATATATAGATCTTCCTATCTCGCCGAGCTGAGTCGATCTAGTTATGTATGTCCGTCCGTCCGTATGTCCGTCTGTCCATGTTAATTTGCAATCACTCTACAGGTCGCAATTATTGTCCGATCCTCACGAAATTGAAAAAAAAGGTGGGGTTCATGTCAGAATAGAACCCTATTTCTTTTGATTGCATGATATTTAGGGGTTGAAATTGACCAAAAATTGAAAAATTTCATGATTTTGAAGTTGCTCTACAGGTCGCAATTATGGACCAATCGACGCGAAATTTAGCATGGGGCTTAAGCTTAGGGCTGGCCTAAAGCTTAGGGCCTTCCAATTTTATTGGACATCGGTTAATATTTAGTGGGTGAAATAGACCATAATATTTGTGTTAAATAAAATACAAATTTTCCATTAAACCGCGAATATTTTTAATCCCGGCGAAATCACAAAAAGACGAACAGGTCAATTCTGACGCCGATATTAAATATATTGGATATATAAAGCGAAATATATGCAATGTGTCTATACAAAGGAAGGGGATGTTGGCTAGCTTATATCTCAAGAATGGCTGGACAGATTTCGACAAATTTTGTCAATTCAGAATTGCCTCTTGGCATAAAAGAATAAATTCTAAAAATATCGCATAAAAAGATGTTAATAATGATGTTTACATAGATTTTATAGTATTTGTGACATTTTTTATTTTTTCATATTTTTTATCGCATGCGATTTTTTCAATTTGACTTATAATATTGAAATGTATATTTTGTAATATTTTTTCACCTTACAACACAGGTTGGGGTTATTATATACAGTTTGCAATTATCGTCCGATTCTCTCGAAAAGGGTAAGTTTAGGCTCAGAAGGGCTAGGCCTATTGTTTTCAAAGATGTCCGAACATATTTATGGGTTGAAATGGACCAAAAACATAAAAAAATCCTGATCACACAATTGAAGCCAATCGACACGCATGAGAAGAGAGTTAAGGACAGGGAAGAATTCTAGCATTTTGGATGACCATTGGATTATATTTAGCTCTAAAATGGACCACAACAACTAACAGCACGACGGAGTGAGTAAATATTGGGTAAATGCCCTGGTCAAAATTCTAAGGGTTATATCTAGGCAGTGCTTCGTCACATAATTTCAAAATCGAAATCTTCCAAAATCGATTTGGACATAAAGATGCTTCTAACATATTGTAGTGTTGTAGGGTATCACATGGTCGGCTCCGCACGACTATAGCCTTTGCTTACTTGTTTAGTGCCAATTTTGCTTTCCAAAGTATGCCGGACACAATAGTGCAACGGATTGGTTTCCGGAGTTTTGGTAGCCACTGTGCGCTGGAAATGAAGTGAGGAACCTCATTTTGTAACAATTCTCGGGTGGCGCGTGCTGAATCCTGAGTGGAATGTACAAGATCTGCGGTCAAAATGTTTGCGTGCCCAAGGCTTTAATACAACCTTCAGAATATTTTAGCGATAATTTCCGGCATTTATTCAGATGCCACGGTCGATTAATACGAGCGAAGAGCGACCATCGGCTGTTATGGGGGCCCACACTATGGCCGGCGCTTGATTTCTGCATGCCAACGAAGGTGCATATTTTCAACTAACCTCTTTGGCAAGTAAGTATGATCAGTTTGTTTGTTTACAAACTGCTGGACAACTAATGTTTTATCATTAAATAATCGAATACTGGCTGAGGGTACACATCTGTCGGGAAGTCCTAAATTCTAGTTATGGTTGCATAAAATCGAAACCAATTTTAAAATCTCACTTAAATTACACAATTTATATTTTGTGCCAAGTTTACACCTCCCTATTTTGCAAATCAATAAATATTTACTTAATTAATTTAATTGAAAAATTGTTTGTGTCGCTCGTATTGTTGTAATAAAAATTTCACTTTTCAATTAACAGAAATCAACAAAGTGTGTCCGATTAAATATGAACATCAATATCAGAATGTGATCACACCTTGTTGATCTTTTTCATTGGCGTTGGGTTTTTGCTGCTAGCAGTGCTGGCAGTGGATACGTTGCTGAGACCTTAAAAAGATGTTAATTCATATTTGACCTAAATTCCTAAAATTCTTCGCAATGGTCTTACGTAGCTGACGGCGATTATGTGGAATACACGTACACTTGTTTTTGGGGCAACTCCTATTCACTTTCGTCTCTGACGCATTGTTGTCTGAGATAATGGCACGTTCCTTAACGTTGTCGCCAACTCAGTCACCAATACCAGCTCACTTTTGTTATGCAAATTTATCAGTAAACAAATAGAAAAGTCAGTGAGAAATTTTTTGGCGAAAATGAAAACAAACAAATAATGAAAAGCGGATATTATTGATGTGTGCGTTTTAATATTTTGCATATTGAAAGTGATAGTGGACTGGGGGAAATGTGATCATATCAGATGATAGAAAATGTGATTAATACTGTTATACTATCTATTTTTAGATGTTTAAAACTGTGACGAAACGGTAGGAGGTAAGGAAATGGAACATTGGTCTGCATCAGGGTCGAGAAGACGGCCCAGATAGGTGACGAAGTTTTTCAGCTACTTACTCGCATGTGCACACCAATCATAAAGTATAGAGCAAATTTGGAGCTTAAACAATTCACTCAGAAATTTTCATGTACATACCTTATTCTCATACATATTATTCTTTGTCTGATTTCATTATGGTCGAAGTTTAATCCGATTGTCGATTAAACGCACACAATACCCCTATTTTATGTCACTTAAATTTTATAGGACTCTACTCATAGTATCGAATTTTGACGTGCTTGTCGACCCTGCTCACTGTAGCTATTAAAATCTTCTATAGTATAAGTTTAATCTAAATGCATCCAATGAAACTACCAATTCGCCAACATATAACACCAATAGTCAGTCCTATACCACCCACTTTTTAAGTTTCTGTTTGTTTTTGTTTCTTATTTTTAACTTCATTCAGAAACGAAAAACAATTCTCTAATATTGAAATTTATTTTCACTTCCTTTGTTTTAAAATAGTTTCAAAACTTTTTTGTTTATATTTTTACATAATAAAGAATATGCAAATTTAGTTGAAGTATATTTTTTTAATGTTGAATACAAATCAGCATATTATACATTCTGTTGTTATTTCTTCTCATGCGTGGTACCTCTTAGATAAACGCCAACACAAAAAGGGTTGCCATCTACAATTTGCTGTTGTCTGAAGTGGTAGTGAATAGGTGGAATGTGTTAAAATAAGGGAAGCGAAAGTAGTTTATTTTATCATTTAGCGGAGACTCCTAAGTCTATTCCCTCACTCGAGTATATGTGCTGTGATAACTGCCTTAGGAGGTGTTATCTACCTTCGAAGTGAATATAAAAATTTTATAAAATTGGCTAAAATCTTGAAAATTCCGATTATCGGGAGGTGCCGTAAAATTGTGCGTAGTGGACCTAGATGTGAATCTGTATAGGCATATTTCTGTCATATAATCAAAAATATAAAAGTATCAGTAGTTAAAATTTATAAAATGTCCATCCTAAATCACCAAAAATTCTACAGACCTAAAAAACATCTAACTAAAATGTTATCAACCAACTTCATGATTTCAAAAACAGAAAAATTTCCTGATTTGGCAATTACTCTACAGGCCACAATTATAAACCAATCGACGCGGAAT